CCGTCCCCGAGGCCGCCCCTGCGCCCTGCTCTCTCCGCGTTTCTGGGGGTTCCCCTGTTACCCCTGCTGCCCGGGCGGAAGCACCAGTCCCAGCTTCTTGGAAGGCGAGAAGGGAGAAGCCAGATCTAGGTGAGTGGTGGCCTCGATTTTTCCTTTTCTTGTTACTGAACTTGCATGCTAAGGGCACTCACTGTTGGGAAGCTAGGAAGTTAAAAGGGAAGAGAAATAAGACAAAGGCAGGCGGTCCAGACAACCCACCACAACCAGATAGGGCTGGGACCAATCCTCGCTCCCTGGCTACTCTGCACCCCACGGTCCCCCAGCCTCCCACTGACCCGGGTCCAGACACACACACCGACTTCAGCGAGTATTTGCTGGGTGGAGACAAGCGCTGGGAGTATTTCTGCTTGTTTCTCTCACTCAGCCTCTAATCAAGCAGAAACTGCCTTTGATGGTTGGCTTCATCTCCACAAGGATTCCTCCCCCCAGAGCGGAAGGATTTGAACACAGACAATTAAAAATGTGGTGTGTTTCATACCATGGCCTGCTATGCAGCACTTAACAAGCAGAAGTCAGGGCTGTGGGGATCAGCATGCCTAGATGGCAGAGAGATAAAAGTAAATGAGCATCAGATGCAAAAATATACCTACTTTAGGATGTCATTTAGGTGACTTACTTTAAAACACAGGTCACATTGTAAAATCGTAGAAAGTGGACTGTAAAATGTGTCCCAGATTCATGATTGTGGCTGGGCAGTATACAAGGGGAATGGATTTGGCATGAGGGTGAAGGTGGAGATAATGTTTTACCTAGAATTCTGAATACATACAAATGACGAAGCAAAGATGATGAAACAGAAACAATATAACGGAGGGCACCGTTAACTTTGGTGTTTTTTAATGATATTTTCTTTCTTCCCTCCTGTTCTACATAATTCCCAGTTTAAGACGTTCTGTTTTTCAAGTGCAAACACAATACGTTATGCCTATGCGATGCCTTGGCAATGAGACATACAGTGTTGTCAGAAGTTGCAACTTTCTTGCATTACAACTTAGGTTCCTCAATTCCTGAAGAGGACACCTCTGCACCGAGGGAGCCCTTACAAAAGCTCCCTATTGACAGCCCCCAAAATATAGGCCCAAGGTCAAATGCTGGCATCAGAGAAGGAGGCTGCAGTTAATAGTCTGGTAATAGGTCAAGGTAGAATCTGCAAGTTTTCTGTGTTCTTATAAACCGCATTGTTCTCTCTCTTGTATTTCCTATGTTGAGGAGGTTCATTTCCATGGGTGGTGATTGCCCTCTTGACATTTTGAAATGAAACTTATTTGACACTGCAGACTTAGTACCAGGAGGTGAGGAGGGTGTTAGGTTTGGTAGAAGAGAGTCCTATAGCTCTTCTGGGCTGTACATCAGTAGAATGGGGCGTTTTTTTATGTGTCCCTATTTTCCTAGCAGAGAAAGGTTGATTTCTTTCTGGATGTGAGGGAAAGTTGCCTAATTTGATTATCCGCATGGGGAGAAGAAGAGAAAGACAATTCTAAATTGGATGGGGTATGTTAAGTGCAATGGAGAAGCCACCACCTAATCATTCCATCCGCCTTTCCCTTCCCTGTCTACATAGTTTCTTCCTGCTAAAAATCACTGCATCTTTGGTGAACAGAATTGCACATCAAAATGAACTTGTGAAATGTGGCAAGTTGCGGTAATATTCCTCTCTCTTTTGCTTTCTGATTTGACAACCTGCAAGGTCAATGCTTGGTTGCAGAAGATAGGCTACTTGAGAGAAGCCTGAGGTGTGAAGAACGTATATAAGAATGAAAGGGTGGGGTGTAGTGGGAAAACTTGAGGCCTCACATAAAAAAAAACAAAAGAGAGTATAGCCCCCCCCCCAACCCCTGCTGTGTTAACAATCACAATTCCTTAAAATCAATGTTCTCTTTAGGATCAATCTTCTCAAATGTCATCTGTGGTTCAGCCCTGACACTAGTCCCCACTTATTCGGGACTCCAAATGCAATAATAGAATGCACAGGGCACCCCCATCCTTCTTCCTAGCCCACAAGGAAACACTAAGGCTTCTTCCTACTCCCTTTCCCGAGGGAATTAAAAGCTCTTTGTTTTTGTTTTTTCAGCCTGGAGAGACAATTGAGTTCTTTCTATCTTCCTGAGCTCAATAATCCCCCGGGCTTCCTCCAGCCACCTGTTGCCACCTGCCCCTCCAGCCCCGCCCCCATGCCATTTTAATGGGTTGCTTCCTAATTGCTGACTCTTTCTTTGCTCTTTGTTTAAGGATTCTTTTTAAAGTTCAGAAGGCGCTTTGCTGGCAGCTGGCTTTTAGTATGAAAAGTAGAATTTCTTTAATGAGTCTGCCTTCCACATGAGGGCTTGACTTACGTTTTCCTCACAGGAAAATAAGCTTTTCTTCTAGGCTTGTTTAGGGGCTTCTCAAGTTCTTTTTCAATAACATCCTTAGGGCAGGTTCCCTTGGGACACCTTCCTCAATGATGTCTCTAATTTGTATTTCCTTCATCTCAGAAAACATCCAAGAGGAAATCAGTCCGCAGGAGTCAAATTAAGTGAATGCATAAATATATGGAACAACACACCCATGGTTTTTTCTCTCGCTCTCCCTTTCCCTCTCTAAAAATCAATTTAAAAATCATACATGATAAAGAAATCCTGCTACTATTAAAATATCTGTAGCTAACATTTATTCTGTGCACGGGCCCTTTGTGTCCCATGCTTGTGAGTAGCTCAGGCCATAGAGCTAAAAATGAATATTTAAATAATTTGTATAAAAGCACTAGCTTCGCCCGTTTATGGTAGATCTGAAGGGCTAGCTCTGGACCCATGTTTCCACATGGCGGCACTCTCCTAGATTTGAGGGCAGTAGCCTCTTTTCGGTGGAGCCTGGATCCTCCAGGTTGCCAGTGTTCCCACCGGGCACTCTGTCTTGTGCCTGGGCTGGTGAGCTCACTTGCATTTCTGCCTGGCTCTGGTAGGCGTCTGAGCCTGTGATTCCTGAGGAAGGCACTGTGGTTTTCCCCATGTTACAGGTTAGGGGTGAAGCCACCGGCCCAGAGCCATTCTCCGTGTCAGTTGTAGAACCAGAACTCTGGATGCTGCCTCTTTTTACCAATTTCAGGGAAAGTAAAATTCTCTTTTTCCTCACCTGAGGATATGTTTATTGATTTTAGAGAGAGAGAGGAAGACAGAGAGAAACACCTATATGAGATAAAAATATCCATCGATTGCCTCCTGTACACACCCTGAGCGGGGATGGAACCCGCAACCTAGGTACATGCCCTAACCAGGAATCGAGCCCATAAACTTGGTGTTCAGGACAATGCTCCAACCAACTGAATCACCCGGTCAGGGTGGGTGAGTAAAATTCTTTGCGACTGGGTTTAGGAATGAAACAAAAAAAGCCATAGTGCATATGTTTTCCAGGGCTTTTTAGCTCTCACATACATTACTTAATTTGAGCTTTAGAGTAGCTAATAATTATTGAGCACTTATGCCGTGAAAATACTTTACATATTATCTCATTAAACATTTAATCTCTCTTGGCAGTAAGGACCATGATCAAGTTCAGGGGAAGGGAAAAAAGAAACATGTTGAGTAAAATTTAGCAACTTCCTGGGGTGGCAAAGCCCAAACTCAGCCCTTGTTCCTTTTATATTGTAGTACCTTCCAGGGTCAGAGAAAAGGGAGAGGGAATGTATTTATTTACAATTAAAAAAGAAATTAAAGTTGTTGATCACACATCAAAAAAATTTTTCAATCAACATATTTTCTCAAACATATGGAGAGTACAATAAAATCTTATTTTTATTTTATAGTTGTTAAAGTACTACTGACCTCATTTTAAACTTGTCTTCATACTTCAAACATATTTCGCTTTGCTCGTTCTTTGTAAGTCTAGGTCCACTACTAATGAGGCTGTGAAGTGGCTTCTCCCAGATGCTTAATGTTCTCTGTTATTGCTGAAATTATTTTCAAGTACAAAAAATTTCACCAGAGTGGTACAAATGAACATTTCAGCCACAGTCTGCACTCAGGGTACTAGAGTATGCCATTTGTACGGTATTACAAGGCCATCATTTCTTGTTCTCTCCTTGATATCTAGCTAAGGCATCCAGACCTCTTTTGAGCGAAGATGAATGTTTCTGCCAGGATTATGTAACTGGAGGATCCAGGTCTGAGCAGACAACCATGGGAGCCAATACTTCAAGCAAACCCCCAGTTTTTGATGAAAATGAGGATGGTAAGCTATGTGTGGTAGTTGTGCATAATAGGTAGACTTTTGCACAATTCCAAATAAGCTCTTAGTTTCTTAAGTATATTTTAATGTACTGCAAGGGTGAGCCCAAGAACCTTGTGTGCTCACAGTTAGATTTAATCGCCCACTTTCCATGGGACTTCAGGCAGCTGTCTTAATTGTGACTGTACCAATGCCCTATGTCCAAAGGGGGCTGTTGGGCACTTGGTCAATAGAAGACCTTGAAGTGAAATGATTTGTTTGTTCTCTATGCTGTTCCCTTGACAGTTGAAATTACTACTACCTACTGCTAGTTATTATAGAACATTTCTTATATTATCAAATTACATGTGAATGATAATGCATACTCATAGTATAGAATGAAGTCATTACGTAGGTGTTCTCTGAACCTCTAACTGCCAAAATCCGGGGTCCTAGACCAATTCCACAATGCTAGGCCACAGGAAAAAGAATCGGTGGAAAACTTTCAAGGCCAGACTCAGCAAGAAAAGCAATAAAAGCATGGATCTTGATTCTCCCGTCACCCCACCATCAGTCGTGCCAAAACCAGGCAAGGGCCTGGTGATTCTTCCTTCCCATAGTGGGAGTCAGAGCAGCCTCGTCAGTGCATGCAGGGTAGCAGCTGTTTATGTGTTGTCTGGGAAAAAGAAATCCCCTGCTAGTAAGTTGTCCAGGCTTCCCAGAGGGAGCCCCCAGAGTCATTTCCAGGGAGTTCTGCTAATGGGCCTTAAAGGAAAAGAACAATGAACTGAAATTCAGAAGATCTGAACACCAGGCCTATTACAAGCTACCTGTGTGGCTCCAGAATTAGTCCCTCTTCAGTTTCCTCATCAGTTAAGTGAAAGATAGGCTGATCGTGAAGATCTTTTTTAAGGTCTTTTTTTAACTCAAAAAGTTTACCATTTGGAGATCCTCAAACCAATTTGCAAACATGATGATGCAGTATCAAAATCATCAAGGAAAGTTGTGTTAAAATGGACATTTGACTGCTGGAAAAGAAACTGAATATCAGTGGCTTAGACAAGATGGACATGTTTTCTTTATTATGTAACAATCTAGGCATAAGTAATAGGTGATATGTGGCTCTAGAAGGTTAGGAATTGTGACTCTGAAAAGCTGATTTCTCTCATTCTCTTTCCATCCCTAGAATCTTACTCTCCATCTGGTGCCTCTGGATGGCTCACTACCACTTCCAAATGCCAGCAGTGGAAGGGGGAGGGGAGGCTGTGCCCACTCCTTTGAGGCACATGATCTGGCTATAGCTGGTCACTTTCATTCACATGCACATACCTAGTTACCAGGGACATGGAAATTTATTTATCTTGTATGGCCATGAACCTTCTCAAAATAAGGTGTTCTGTTTAGTTCCCCAGGAAGAATTAGCAGTTTGCCATGGTTGTGGGGCATACCAGAAGCCTGCTACAATCTAAGTTTTTGAGACTTTGGATTGACCCTTTTAAAAACAAAATATTTGATCCCAGCTATTCACTATTAATTTAGAGGCACAAAATATTGTATAGGAACCCTGAAATTATAGAGTTAGAAATGGTCTTAAGAAATTTTTTCCACTCTTAATTTCTATTGCCTTGCTTTGCTTTCTCAAGTAGTAAAGGCAAGGATCTAGAGACCGTGATGGTACTTGATTTTTCCATCTCTAAAATGGGAAGACAAGTTGGCTTGGATTTTATTCATTTGGTTCACTATCCTCCCTATGGATTCAGAGCTAATGCTGTGCATGGGGCTGGTCCTCAGAGAACAGAGTAGGAAAGAGAGGCCAGCTTCATGCTTGTAAGTTGCTAAGGATATGTGTCATATTAAGGCAGTGGTTCTCAACCTTCTGGCCCTTTAAATACAGTTCCTCATGTTGTGACCCAACCATAAAATTATTTCTGTTGCTACTTCATAACTGTAATGTTGCTACTGTTATGAATCATAATGTAAATATCTGATATGCAGGATGGTCTTAGGCGACCCCTGTGAAAGGGTCTTTCGACCGCCAAAGGGGTCTCGACCCACAGGTTAAGAACCGCTGTATTAAGGTATTAGGATGGCATTAGAAAGAGCAAACATAGAAATGACTAAATCCTCTTTAATTCAGCCAGCCCTTCTCATGGGGTGCCCAAGAAAGTTACAGAGCTAAGAAAGTGAGGCACCACTTCATAAATACCTGCAAGGAACTCTGGAAGAGTTAGGGTTAGGGTAGAGTCAGGTTTAAGGAGCAAGCAGTTCTTTCTCAAAACTTAAGGTATTAGGATGGCATTAGAAAGAGCAAACATAGAAATGACTAAATCCTCTTAATTCAGCCAGCCCTTCTTCTCATGGGGTGCCCAAGGAAGTTACAGAGTAAGAAAGTGTGACCAATGGGAAATAAGGCACCACTTCATGAATACCTGCAAGGAACTCTGGAGAGTTAGGGTTAGAGTAGAGTCAGGTTTAAGGAGCAGCAGTTCTTTCTCAAAACCCTCTAGGTTGCCACTTTTTTGTTGTCCAACCTCCCCAGCCCAATGAGATGATCCCACGGCAGCATAAAAAGAAGAGCTGAGCAGAACAGTCTGTCTGTGCTTCCCAGGGGACAAGGCTGTGAGTCCATTCATATACACAGCTGCAAGGCAGAAACTGAAGGGCAACTCCACCTGCTATGAGCCTGTCACTCTGTTAGGATGAGGAATAGAATAGAAAACGAGATGGCCACGCCCTGCCCTTGTGGAGAAGACAAACAATAGACAAATAAAAAATCCAACTCAAGGGGCCAAAGAGCCACATGTGGCTTGTGAGTCACGGTTTGCCGACCACTGCTCTAGGTTGCCACTTTGTTGTCCAACTTCCCCAGCCCAATGAGATGATCCCATGGCAGCACCCATAAAAAGAAGAGCTGAGCAGGACAGTCTGTCTGTGCTTCCCAGGGGACAAGGCTGTGAGTCCATTCATATACACAGCTGCAAGGCAGAAACTGAAGGGCAAATCTACCTACTATGAGACTGTCACTCTGTTAGGATGAGGAATAGAATAGAAAACAAGATGGCCATGCCCTGCCCTTGTGGAGAAGACAAACAATAGACAAGTAAAAAATTTGGATAACTTCAGAGAATGTTAAAGTGACTCCAAGGAAATAAGTCAGAGTGATCTTATGAAGAGTGACAGGGTGATGGTGGAGACCATGATAGATAGGGTATGGTCGGGTGTGGCCTCTCTGAGATGGTGACATTTGAGTTGGAAAAGGTGAAGAGGAGCCACTCATGCAATGACAAGAAGAATAGTTCAAGCACAGGAAAAAAGCAAATCCAAAGTCCAATCAATGACAAAATTGGGATTGAATAGTTGGCTATCTGATGACCATGAGTTTGCATATATAAAACTAATTTTTAAATCAATGCATCTTATAAAGTTGATTTGGCTCCTTTTATAGCTCTGGATGGAGCACAAGGTAAATTTTATTTGATTGCTGTGAAGCTTCCGACCAAGAAACAAAAACAGCAAAGAAAAAAGCACTGACTAATCAATTAACATTAATGCTTATATTATTTTGATGTCCATTTTTTTAATGTAAATAATCAAATCGGGCCAAAATCTAGGGCACCAAATGAGCCAATTTAATTATTTTAAAAATATTGCTGAAGAGAATCCCAATATGTGATGATGAAAAAGTATGTAATATTTCCTTCAAAGTGTTTACTATTCCCAACATTGCTTTGAAGAATATTCAAACCGATTTTCCCCGGTAATATTTCAATATTTGTTTCTCATGGAAAGTGTTTTGGTTCACATGGAAGGTAATTAAGGAATAAGATAAGGAGAGACCAAGATGGCGGCATGGGTAAACACCGCAGACTGCTGCCGCAAACAACCACTTCAAAAAGTTGTTCAAAAGACGGAACGGACATCACCCAGAACCACAGGAAGGCTGGCTGAGGAGAGACTCTTCAACTAGAAGGAAAAATAACAGCACACCGAGGCTCAGAGGATGGGGGGGAAAAAAAGAGGAACAAATGTAACCTGAACAATAAAGATTTAATTAAAAAAAAAAAGGAATAAGATAAGATGTTATTGGATGTCCCTTGAGATAAGTTGTTCTCACTAGAATTCATCCTGACACTGTATTTTGTGTTGTTCCATCTGATAGTGATCCTGAAAGAATTTTTCTCTTCGCTACTTATATAGATCTTTATTTAATGAAAACAAAGTGTAAGCTTATAGTACTGTTGGACACAATAAAGTTTGCTTATTTGGTTAATGTTAAGTCAACTTTTACAAAGTAGATCTCAAATTATACTATTGTTTTGTTCTGGGGCTCTCACTTTTATATTTTAGCACAAACCTAAGTCCTAATTACTTATTTTATTATGATAAAATATATATAACACACTGTACCATTTTAATCATTTTTAAGTGCACAGTTCAGTGGCATTGAAATTTCCATTTGGGGGCAACCATCACCACCATCTAGAACTTTTTCACCTTTCCAAACTAAAACTGCATCCCCACTAAACAATAATACCCCATTCCCTCTTTTCCCCAAATTACAGAGAAGAAGGGAGAGGAATAGAGAGTTAGAAACATCGATGAGAGAGAAACATCAATCAGCTGCCTCCTGCACACTCCATCCTGGGGATGTACCCGCAACCAAGGTACATGCCCTTGACCAGAATCGAACCTGGGACCCTTGAGTCTGCAGGCCGATGCTCTATCCACTGAGCCAAACCGGTTAGGGCAAGCCATTCAACTTTCTGTCCCTATGAATTTGACTATTCTAAGTCCCTCATAATATTTGTCTGGCTTATTTCACTTATCCAATGTTTTCAAGGTTTATTCATGTTGTAGCATGTATCAGAATTTTATTCCTTTTTAAGGCTGAATAATATTCCATTGTGTGTGTATACAACGTTTTGTTTATTCTTTCATCCACTGGTGGACATTTGATGGTTCCCATCTTCTGACTACTGTGAATTTGACTGCTATGAACATTGGTGAGCAAATACTTGTTTGAG